ATTCGGGAGCTCGGCTCCCGTTTCGATCGATGGCTCGGCGTTCGCTCCGGCGGCTGCTGCTGCAACGGTAGCAGTGACCGATGTCGCGCCTCCTCTCTCTCTTCCTCTTATTCCTCATCCGCGATCAGTGTAGCGCCGGAGAAGGGAAGTTGGGGGAGGAGGAGAGTGAAGGAGCAGGTGACTGTGCACCGTCCCCGACATCACCTGTCCTGGTCCCTGGTGTTCTCCCCTCGCTCCCCTTCTCTTCTGGGACATGCGCGTGTGTACTCTGCGCCGGTGGCGGCGCCATCGGCGCGTGTGGCGCCAGGACACTCGATCGTTATTTCCCACCCTTCTTTCTTTCTTAATTTGTCTAGGGAGGAGGCACGCTGTTGGTGCGCTTGCTACTGGTTCTGGTTCTGCTGTATATGCCACGCTGCGCGCGTGTGAGCGTCGGGGGGATGGGTCCATCTTCTGCGCGTGCGTAGTGGCGCCGTTATATATTTTTTATTTTCGGCGAATAATGCGTGCGTGCAGCAGGCGGTGGTGCAGTGTAGCGGTGCCTAAGAAAGGAATAATCGCAATAAAGAAAGAACAAAGTGAAAGAACTGGACATAAAAAGAAATAAATAAAAAGAAAATAAAGAAAGTACAGAAAAAGATCAATAAAGTACAAAATAGAGGAAGCAAGGAAACAAAATAAAATAAAAGTAAAAAAAGAAAGCAAGGAGAAATGAGAGAATGAAAGGAATGAAGGGAATGACGCAAGCAAATGTGAAAGAAATACCAAGGATAAAAGATGATATGTTATATGTAATGCAGAAAAAGAAGCGCAAAATTAAACGCGAAGGAAAGATGGAATGTATTAAAACAATAAATTCAGAACGAAAAGATTTTTGAAAAAGAAATGAATGGACGAAGGAAGAATGAAAGGACATAAGGTCGTTGAGGAGAAAATAATGCGCATGCGCGAAAAAACAAAAGGTTTGTTTACCTGTTGATGTGTATCATTTGTCCCTTATGTCCTTCATTCTTATATGATGCTCCCCCTCATTGTAAGGTAGGAAATCGACTGTAGCTTCGTTAACGTCCCTGCCTTTCCTATGACCCTTTCTTAGTCTTTCTCTCTTTCTCTAATTGCTATCAATCTACATCTGCCTATATATATAATTTACTCATTGACTCAGTTATTCATAAACGTATCACTGTTTTTGCGTGTTTATTTGCTGGTACATCTAAGTAAAACTCTTTACCTATTATTCCACTGTTTCTCCTGATCCTCAAGTGAAATGACTTAAGTGAAAGTGAATTAGTGCACGCTACGTCCCATCTGAGCAGGTAAAGCTTCTGTCGTATATTTGTCCGCGTATTGCTTCTCTTCGATAATTAGTTACTGCAGTTATTATTCGAAGTACCACCATGGTATGGTGTGTGAGTGCTAGTAGTAAAAAGAAGTACCTATCTACAACACGATTATCTCTGCCGGTTACTGTCGGTTGCAGCTCTTCCGCTTAGCCTAAAACTCGCATGGTGGTACAGTTGGCGTTATTGGAGCGCACGCGCATGTAGTGTCATGTCTGCTAAAGTGAGCGAATAGCAAAGAGAAGTAATAAACACGTAAATGCGATTAGAAACGTGACGAACTACACTAGAATGTGGGCAATAACAAGAGAATGTTTTCGTAATTTTGGAATAGTTTGCTACAGGAAGCGGTCGAATGAGTGATAGACGGAGCTCGCGTGACAAGTGAGAGGAGCGTAGACTTGACGTTCTTTCCACAGTATTTCGTAGCTGGAATCACGTGATCCCTCACTCATTCTCATGCTTTCTTTCCACTGACTCGCCCTCTTACATATGGCATCGATCGGGCCTGGCCAGACTGTCGAGCAAGCCATGTACGCAGGTTTTGTCTGTATGCATTATTACATTTTTTTTCTTGTCTTGCTTCCCTCTGTCTTGAATATACCCTTCAGGCGCAGTGCACACGTAAGAGTACGCAGCCTTTTTCTGCCAGTTATTTCGGCTAGTGGCAGTGAAGGAGCATTGTATGGGGAGGGGGGGGGGGGGCAGGGTAAATAGTCTTTAGGTAAGGCTGTCATAGGAATACGAATACATGGAATAGTGGCCTGGAAACCTTTGAGAAGCCCTGTTTATGGCTAACAAACTGAATACAACATTCAGTTTAGTCTGTGTGAATCCATTCACAAAACTTTATCAGGGTCCTGAAGCCCGGTATTTTCAGACTGATGAGGGCCACGTCGGTGTCGTCAAGCTGAGCCTTGTCGAACCATTGTGGACCTTCTGGACTGCCCGTAGCGGATATCGACGGAATTCGCTTTGCACCATCTTCTGCCAGTCAGGTCATTTTTATTCGGTGTTGTCGAGAGTCACAGGACAGCCCGCCAGCATGTCTGATTCCAATAATGCCATCGCATGCGTCCCAATTTTCTTTTTAATTTTACCTTCAGGATGAATTTTGTTTAGAAAATACGGAGTGGAGTGAGTGCTAGTTTGCAGAAAACGTTGCCTAATTGCCGTTCAACTTTGCGTGTGGAAGTGGGAATTGCCTACGTCCCAAGTAATAATAATTTGTCTAACGTTGTACGCGATTAAAGGACCTATATGATCCGCGGAGTGGTAGTGGGCGTCCGGTCCGGTCTCACTGGCACGACAAGTGAGTCCTCGGGCCAGGACATTCGTATTGGCTCTACATTAATGCGCTGAGTATGGTTGGAGCTCACCACTTTGGCAAATGCACCAGAATGTTCAATTGGTAAGCGCCATCCATCAGAGGTCATCAGCATCAGCATCAGGTCGTTCGACGCGCCGTGTCCCAGAAGCAGTGTTGTATGGGACCGCGTTTCAAAATGACGTTCCATGAACTAGTTACTTGTGGGAGAAGCGGAGGAACGTCACCGTTTCATTCAGGATCGGTGGTACTGTAACGTTGGCTCGTTACGTTTTCAAGAGTACGGTAGAGGAAACGGCGTTTCTTCTGTAAATGTTCCACGACATTTAAGAGGGGCGCGCGCACACGCAGCAAATCATGCAGAAAAGGGTGGAGGGCCTACTGCATCAGGCACAAAAATGTACTGCTCAATGTGTCACGTGACTAAGCTGCGTCCTGCTTTTCACTTGAAGGCGCCCACCGAAGGAGTGATTTTCAAGGCGCCCACCGAAGGAGGCGCCCGCTTCGAAGTGATTTTGGCGTAGTTGTTGAAATATTCACCTCGTCCGCCGCAAACGACTGTTCAAAGTGGCTTCGCTTGCCTTCAGTTAGCTTCGATGACCGAGTATTACGGATAAGTTGGCGTAGTTTTTGAGATAGCTTCCCATTTCGAGCGTGCCTAGGCCTAACTACAAGATCGATGTAAACAAATCGGCAACGTAGATGTTCTGGCGTTTGGTGCGTTGTTCATATTGATTTACTTTTATTATCAACAAAATAAACTTCTAACAATGCTTCGAGTGGTGGCATAGGCAAACATTCTCGTTTTCTTTTCATTTTCACTAATTAACCTATCAACCATCTAATAGGTGACGCCACCATCCCAGATGGGGCACGTAAACGCTATCCCTCTAAACTATAAGACGCTGCCCACAACGAACGTTTGCTGTACGGTAACGTCATTCCCTTAACCTACGCTATCACGCGAACGCTAAACTATAACTGTCTACTATATCCCAAGTGCGCTATTGGAGACCGACGTGGAAAGTGCCACATGTGCGGGATGTGAAAGTGACGAACACGAAAGTTGCTGTTTGACATGCATTGTAGTATGGCCGGTGGCCTATGGAATTAAGGTCGTCTGGGAGCATTCACTTGGATTTCTTTTAGCTACGCATAACCTGCTGTCGGTGATGTCAAATGCTTATATGTGGTTAGATGTGAGCTTTAAATTTACTGTGTCACATGAGGTTGGGCGTGGCATTTACGCATTCGTACTCTCGTCTCCTTGGAATGGTGAGCACTTCGGCATGCAACATCTGCGCCTGCGAGGAAACGCTTGAGCACATTTTATGTCATTGCCCAGCATACCAGACCGAACGACGTATTATGGAAGCCAAGCTCTGTCAGCTGGATTCACGGCCGATTACAGAAGAGAAGATCCTGGGACCTTGGCCAACGGCTTCCCGTAATACGCGCAAAGCCACGAAAGCCCTCTTGTACTTTTTAAGGACCATCAAACTTCACGACCGCTTGTGAAAGAACTGTGCGAGGCCGTGCTGTGTAGTCTCGAGCTGACTATTTATGCTTCTCTTTCTTACTCCTCTTCTTTTCTGTCTCTTTCCGTTCTATTATTCCTCTTTTCCCCCACCCCAAGTGTAGGGTAGCCAACCGAGCCAAGCTTGGTTAACCTCCCTGCCTTTCCTCTCTATTTATCTTTCTCTCTCTCTCTCTTAAGTTTATCACTTTATTTCACTTCAGGATTATCGAGCACTATACTTTTACTAAAAAGTTGAACGTAACGTTCTCGTAAGAACACGTTTGAAGTTTCTAAATGTAACTGTAACAAATTCTTCTGGCATTATTTTGAGCTTGTAACTGGAACTAGTTCCGAAATCAGGCAGAAACGAGGAACGAGCTTTTGTTCCTGCTTCAAAGAAACGTGCACAACATTTCCCACGAACGATATCAATGCCTAAGTTATCGTTGATTGAAATAATAGAACCAAAACAAAATTGCATATGTATATATTCAGCCCAACGCACCCTTTCTGAATGAAATAAAAAGATAGATTGATATGTGGAGTTTAACGTCCCAAAACTGCCATGCGATTATGAGAGACGCCGTAGTCCACTGGAGGGTTCCGGAAATTTTGACCAACTGGGGGTTCCTTTAACGTGCACCTGAGCCCATGGGCCTACAGTATTTTCACCTCCATCGAAAAATTGAAACAGAAAGCATGTCGAGTGACTGTAGAATGAAAAAGAAAATCGATTGCGTGCTTGTCGAAACGGGTACTCGAGCGATACGCGGTGTTCACGAATTTCTCGTGACCGTCTCTCTTTCCACGCAGCATGGCCGCTGCCGACGGTAACGTGGACGACGCCCTGACCAGCCTGCACTGGCTGCAGAACCTCAACATCATGACCCGCATCGGAGCCCCGACACCGCCGACGCCGCCCGCGAGCCCTCCCAGTTGCGGATCGGGGTGCTTGGCCGCAAAGACCGCACTGCACGGAACCGCGACCGCCCACAGCGCAGTATCCAGGTGAGCAGAGCACATTTTCACGTACGCCAGTCTCTTCTTCATTACCTCGAGCATAGACGGTTTCAATATTGCAAGCGTTGTACCCCAATAACTTTCGGTCACCTTATTTGCCAGCTAGCTTCGAAACTGAAAGCACGTTCTCAAGTTTTTTTTTTCAAGAGTAAGGAAAACTTCTTTTAGTTTGTCAGGTAAAAGGAACGTGCCTGATGTTCAAAGAAATCTGTTATTATTTTTATGTAGGTCAAGAAAACATTTATTTGAATATATTTTGTCAAAATAGAAAATGAAAGTGTAGAAAATGAGCGGGCTTTTTCTAAAGCTCTTCTTGCCCACCGATGCTATTTCGGCACATCAAGGGACGAAACCAGATGTCATCAAGTGGCTGTGAAAGGGTCTATAGGGGAGTGCAGCTTGTGCTGCGTATGGCGTCCCTGGTTTGAAAACGCGCCGGCCAAGTGTCTCAAAGCCATGTGAGCTACCGGGCGGCAGTGAAGAAGCTTACACATTTCAAACCACGACATAACGAAGCTGTATTCAACGAAATATTGGTTATAACGAAGTAACTAAAGGGCAGACTTGCAATAGCTATTGTGTTAGGAACATACCTTTATAACAAATTTTTGGATATTGGATATTTTTGTGTAAGGTGCAGCTTTGTTATAAGGAGGTTTGAGTGTATTCTACAGCAAGAGCAGGGACAATCAAGATTGGAAGTAGGTGTAACTTTGTCATGATGAGGTTTCAGCGTAGTCTTCACGGAGTGAGAGACGGGGCAATCAAGAAGATTGGAACTGTAACGGGGGAGTTTGAAGAAAATCTCATCAAACGTTACCATTTGGACGAAGACCTCTTCCCATATCACGTTTGCGAGCCATTTCTGAAGGTAATTTCGCGTCAGTATTCGAGAAACTGCTCGATACTGACCACCAGAATGACCGAAATCTGTACTCCGAACTTGAAGCATAGAGTTTCTGTCCAACGGTGATTTTTGAACGCGAGGATCCCGCGCTGGGTGCCCAAGGAAAAAGAAAAGTGCTGTGACATGTTATAGCTCAGGTATATTCTAAAGTTAACGAAAGAGTGCGAGACTGAGAAAGTGATTGGCAAGCCGGGCCATATGAGGCCCGCGGTCCGCGTTTTTGACACCTGTGGCGTAAGCTTTCGTACTGTGTGTGTCACTGCTCGTTTTACGATCCTTTAGTGGGTGAAGGCACGTGGAAGAAGCGCAGTACTCGAGCAATAATCGTGTCTCCCTAGCACACGAGGTGGCGCGAGAACTCTCCAACCGCGCCTCCCCGGGGATGCGTTCTACCGGTGAAGGGGATAACCGGGAAATTCTTACAACATATAACGAGCTCACTAAACATTTCTACCTGTCTAGAATAATTTTCCCTCCACCTCACAAAAATCTAACCTGGCCCCAAGCACTTACATTAAGGCTTTTGCAAACGCGGATGTACCCTACTTTGAAAATGTTACACATCATGTACCCTGACCTATACCCAAGTAATCTTTGTCCTCATTGTGGGGAAATAGCTTCATTAGAACACATGCTCTGGCAGTGCACCAAATTCGCTCATTTATCGCACATCACCTCTGCCAGAGGGGAGGCGGCAATCCGCAGCTCGTCCTCGGCAGATCAGCTCTGGGCTGTCCACCAAGCCCGCGAGGCGGCTGAGGAGCTTGGCATCTCAGTCCCCACGTGGGAGCTGCCCGCAACACAGTAATCTGTGTTTTGGAGGACCAAATAAAAGTTTATCCAATCCAATCGTGTCTCCCTGGCTGGGCTTAAATTGAAACACCTGATCAATTAGGCTCAGGATAAGGTCTTCCGGGAGCTTCTATTCTTGACCAGGACGCCAGGAAGCAGGGACGTACAGGCAAAACAGTGCGCGTGACCGCTTTCAGTCGGCGGACGTCAACGATCTCCGTCACACCTTTTTGTTAGCCGGCGTCTACACACTCAGTTGTTTTGTGGCACATGCGCAGGTGCGCGGCGGCTGTGGCGGCCGAGGAGCCCGACTACAAGAACCAGGCCTCGAGCAAGCCTCCGTACTCGTACGCGACGCTCATTTGCATGGCCATGAAGGCCAACAAGAACAAGATGACGCTCAGCTCCATCTACAAGTGGATACGCGAGAACTTCCTCTACTACCGCAACGCCGATCCCAGTTGGCAGGTGAGTGCGCGAAAACTGACCCGTTGATTTGAGGGAGTGGGTGAAACGACGCATAAGAAACCAACATCGGAACTGAAGATTACGAAAGAAGTGTAATAAAAAAAACTGTGACGCCGAGGAAACTTACTGCTGCACGATTATATAAATTTACGACATTGCATACTTCAAGGCCTATTTACCTACTGCAATGTCATCGTTAATTTTGGGCGTCTTCGATATATAGTTAACACTGTTACCACGTGCTTTAAGGCCACCGACGAAAAGTGTGTTATAGGAGTGAAGTAGACCAATTGAGATGGACGGAACAAAGCGGAGCTCGCTGAAGAGTTCGGGCAGGTGATATAGATGACGTTTGTAAGAGGAGCCTTAGAGGTCTAAATGTATGTTAGAATGTGTGTGATCGAGTTGGGATGGCAGGTAGTGTGCGCTCCAAATTAAACCTCTGCTTTGGCCATTGGTAAAAAATGTTATTTCCCATTTTAGTGTGCATGCTGTTCCCCACCTCTAGGAGTCGGCCATCCACCGTAAAAATAAATAAGTAGATAACGACCACTTTTTTGGTATAAGTAAGACACTGGAGCGTCTTCGGAGTTTGTTTTTCTTGACATTCGGGGAAAGTTACTCGTAGTTTATATATTTGGGAGAAAACTCGGTGTTTATCGAGCTTTATTTCTAGTAGCTACCCAATTCACTGAAATTCGTGGATTCATTCTGCATTTTATGTTCTCAAACATGCTCTTATTAAGTTTACTTCCAATAAATATGCGTTGCATTGTTGCTCATAATCCTGTTTTTGCATCCTGTCTTTTTTTCACATGCTCTTTACTTCACCTGTTAATAAGGCTGCACTGCACTGCTGTAACACTGCACTACGTTGCTGCACTGGTGCGAAATTGTCATAGTGTACTTTAGGGGTGCATGAGTTAGGCAAGGTACTCGTCTTTCCCATTTCGGCGAAAAAACAGGACCTATTAATATCATTACTGTCAATGCTACAAAATCTTAGAAGAAATTGCACTGAAGACGAAAACATGCAAACTAAATGAAACTGAGGTGTCTCGAAGGTTTCAAAGCACAAACACATATTCACACAGGCACAAATAGTTGAATGCAGAACTACGTTTATCAGTGTCACAACCCTAAAAGCTAGTTTTAAGACACGAAAGTATACTTCACAACGATGCTGCCACTGATGGATTTTCATTCCGTTGAATGGATGAGTTTCAGCTTTCAAAACACTGTTTGAACGTAGAAAAAGGTTCTTTTGAAAGTCTGAGTTCATCGGATAAATTTGAATTGTGAAAATTGTCCGACGAGTGCTTATCGTTTTCTTTTTCATATTATGCTGAGAACACGGAGTCCCATGTATAAAACACTCCTCAGGGGAATCCCACACAGTAATGCACCATACTAGAACGAAAAATTTATCGAAAAAGGCACCCCCACTTTCTCCTGCACACTGCGCAGAACTCGATCCGCCACAACCTGTCTCTCAACAAGTGCTTCATCAAGGTCCCCCGGAGCAAGGACGAACCGGGCAAGGGCGGCTTCTGGAGACTGGACCCAGTCTACGCAGATTCCCTGGTCGACGGCGTCTTCAAGAAGCGACGACCTGCTCAGCGACACCCGGGAGCACCAGGCACCGCCACGGTGCCTGCTACAGGGAGTGGTGCCAGCAGCAGCTCCAAGAGGAACCGGAGAGACCGCGGAGGTGGAGCCAAGAACAAGCAGGCGGCAACGTCGTCCACGACTCCGCCAGCCCTGAGTGGGGTCTCGGCGCTCGAGTCACACAGTGGACCTGCCGTCATAGTGGAGCGTGTAGATCCGGCTGCCGTCGTGATCATGGACTCCACGGGCGTTGTAGCGGGAGCGTCTGAGCCTCACCTGGACGACGTGTGTGGTGACCTGGGGGACTCGCTCAAGAACGATCTGTCTTGGATTCTCAGCGAGAGCGACTTGGACTTGGAGCAGCAACTGGATCGATACCGAAGCGCCGAGGACGCCGCTGCAGCGGCGGCCTTGCAACTTGAGGAAGACCTCTTTGGCAGCGGTAGCGGAGTCTCCGATGGTGTTGTCTCCGTCAGCGGCTCGGTGCCATCGGCCTCGAGTCCGGACTGGTGGACGTGCTTCGGTCCGGGCAGTGGTGCCGGGGGAGCCGCCGAGTCGGCATCACTGTGCCTTCCGGTTGCGTCCGCGGCGACGCCTTCCACGGCCGCCTGCTCTTCGTCGAATGCGGTTCAGACTTTCGAGATGCTGTATGGCGGTGCTGACACTGACGACGCCTGCGTGGTAGACCACCACGTGACCATTCCGGGAGAGCTGGTTTTCGGAGATCCGACTTCGTCCGTGACCGTCGCCCAGCAGCAGCCATGGGCGGACTGCAAGGCAGCCCTTGAAGCAGCTGCCCTCGAGTTGGAGACGTATGCCGAGATGGACGTGGTGCCCGGATACTAGTCATAGTGTCCAATCTTGCTATAGGATTGCATAACAGTTGTGCCGGCTCACAAAGGCCACCGGTGCACGGTAGTCTGCTTGTCAAAATCCGTGGACATTGTAGTAATTTTCTGTCTAATTTATACTTCCGAGTGGTGTGACGTTTTCGTCGGGGATAAATTTTAAGAGACTCGGAACTCATCCAGCTTCTGGCGAACCGACGGCTTGTGGCCAGAGCTGAAACGGGAAGGAGCAGCAGGTGCAAAAGTTCTTGCTCTGTATGTACTATTGTTCTGTCGTGCGATGGCCTCTATACAAATGGTCTCTCCTGATAAGCCAAACATGCTCCAGCACTTCTTGTCGCATGATATGCACGGCGTGTCTCACTTCCATCATGTTCCGTTTAGTATTTGTGAATGGCCGGTTTGTGGAAGGAAGCTAAACCACAGATCCGGCTTGTCTGTAAGAGGTTGATTAGCAAAAGATGAGCTGAATCTTAATTACGATTTACCGTGCATGAAACAGAGGCCGGTGAAAATACCCATTGAGAAGAACCAGGATATAATCACCACTTGGTGCGCCTGCAAATCAAGAAACTTATACGGTAGCAGCTAACGACACAAAAGGCATCATACGTCATACATTTGAGAAAAGCATCCGTGTTTTTAGTCAGAGCTTTATTGCTGTATTTGCTTATAGTTGATTCAGGGTGTCATATTTTGATATATTAAGAGACAATGCAAGAAAGCCCGATTAATTTGTGTTACAACTGTCAATGCGTTGTGTTCACTTGCGACTTTTAAAAAGCTTGCATGATTCTATGGAAGTTTTTTCGCGCACTCCCCAATTTCTGTTTCTCTTTTAGCAACATTCATACGAGCATTAAAAACTCAATTTCAGGTAACACATCAAGTTGCAAACAGGCCTCCTTAACGTCACCTGCTACAGCACAATCGAGGCTGTTCTCTTAACTCAATACCACTCTTTTGGCCATGACACCACTCCTGGTTTCCTTCCTTTAACCGGCTTTAGTCTTCCGTATGAATCCCTTTGATGAAAAAATGATTTAATCTCATGCCCTTCTTTTTCTGGCCTTCATAAATAATAACTTCACTGGTACTCCCTTATATGTGCTGAGTGGAGGCAGTAGCTAATGGATAAAAGTGAAATCACTTCATTTTACCAGCATCCTTAGCATTTGCCTTGCTTTCCAGCTGCTGCTCTATCCTCAGCTTGCACTTGACTGATTGTTAACATGAATGTCCAGTTTCTTTAATTGCACAAAACATTGTTAGGAGCATGTGTGTGTGTGTCTATACTCTGTGTGTAATTAGAGTACAGCTGCGTCATTGTGTTTCTTTGTGGTGTTTTTGAATGTCCTCTCTCTATTCGACTTTACTGTGCAATCCTCCCTCCCACGTAGTAGGTGTGTGCAATGTGTGTTATCCTACATTCTTTATACCTAGCAATTTCGACTGCGTACGTTTACCGAAGGCCCACGGCGACCTCCTTTAAGAAGTCGCTACCACCAAGTTTCGCCCAGTTCTCTGGAAGAATCAGATGTGAGGAAGTTGGCTTATGTGCTCGGAAATTATCGTTTTGGGTTAATGACTTCGCGCTAATGTGTGTTTTGCTTGCTGCATGGAGCTAATATTCTGAGGGAAAAAGTCAGTCAAATAAATCAGCCAAAGCCTTCTAAACACGATGACTGCTACCTTAGTGGTTGAGCGCTGCTTCCGGTCCAGTTTTCGAAAACTGTACGTAATATTTCTCAATGTTGTAAGGCACGGTGTCGCTTAGAGGCCAGATATGTACGTTAAAGATGTGAAAATATCACAATTTCTGAAGGAAACATGCAGCCTGTCAGGGTGGAAGTTCTATTGCTCTCTGGTTGTAATCAAAATACGATAGCAGTGGAACAGAGATTACTTGGGGCTTCGCCCTTACCACACGTGTCCTGTATGATCCATTGACTTCCATGTCTATTGCTCACTCTATAATCGTCGTACGAGGCATGCGCGCGCACCCTGTTAGCGCAGAGTCCAAACTGCCAAAAATACCTGCTCTGATACAGGTAGATGGCGCTCCCAATCAAGCCCTCACGACAGGCCTTCGCTCTACGTCACATGACGTCGCCTTCTAGAAGACCCGAACCGCCCCCATCGCCAATCGTAAGCGTTCGCAGAGACGAGGAGAGCGGACTATGCGATTCAGCTTTCGAACGCGGTGACGGCGCTGAGGCCTTCTTCCCACAGATGACGTCACGTGAAGTGGGGCACAGACGAGGCTCGTGGGGCAGCGTTCCGCCACGTCTCGCCGCTGCACAGGTTATTGCGTCACGTCCGGAGGCGGCTCCTATTCGGAGGCCGAAGTCCTGGCGACTGCTGCATTTAACTGCAACAGAGCACGAGTTGCATCTACATAGTTGTGCACAGTGTACAGTGTGGGCACCCCCGTCTTTTGAAAGGCGTGTTCTATACATAGACTGCGTGCGCACAACCACGACAGTTCGTTCTCACAAGTGACGTCACACGTCACACGTTGTGACAAGTGACGTCACACGTGAAGTTTCGCCTCCCTTCGAGTGGCTCGCAAGGGAATGTAACTGAATATCATAAACGTTAAAACATTTCTGTAGATAGATAGTGGCGGACAGATGTAAGTACTTGGAGTTTCTGAGCGTGTGAGTAGATTCACTGGGGCAGCTCTCCGCATGCGCAGTTGTGGCGCATGTGTGTATGTCATTACGCATGAAGAGAGAGCAAGAAGGTTTAGTCGTTTCGTAAGTTGTCAATCGACGTCTGCGTTGGCAAGGGCCCATTAGAAATCTGCATAGGAATGATCTATAGATTTAGCGGCACCGATGGTCGAGAAAGAGGTCAATTTGCGTACGATGGCCTGGCGAAACAGTCTTCTATTGTTTTCAAACAGTCCGCACGTCACATAGCTAAACGCCTGTAATCTATTTAAAGACTTTATAAAATAATAGTACTAATGTGTAAACCTGTCGTCATTTTATATTCACACTAACGGTGGTCACCAGCACTCGTATCATTTACAAATCCCGAAGTTGATGTCTCTAATAGCTGCTTCCTTTCATCCCTTTTCCGTTCCTTTACTTAAATTGCCTTATCGCAACCCTCCCACGACACGCATAGATCCGTTCGCATTCGACCCATGCTGCCGTCTCTTTTCGAAGTTGAAGAGACCCTCAGGGCAAATAACATACTGCTTTGGAATAAAAGGTGGCGTTTGTATTTCAATTGCGACAAAATTACGCATGACCCTTTAATGCGCAATGTCCGTGCGCGCTGAAAAATAACCGACGGGTAAAATTTCCGGAGACCTCAACTATGGCGCGACACCTAATCATACCGTGGTTGTGGCACGCATATACCTAAGTTATTATTGTTAATGATATTGCATAGTTAAATTGGTTATTAGCGTCCTCCTTATGTATTATCGATTCATAAATCTAAAATCGAAGATATAGTTGGGTTCGTTTCAAGTATTAGGCCGCGCTTCAGTTTTCAGATTTTGCAATCACAGAAACAAATGAATTCTGTACGGGTCTGTCTTTCAATATCACCTAGGAACGCGTTCTGTTGATAAGAAAAAAGTTTTACATTTGTTGTTACATATTTTGTAAGCGAAGCTCATGTAGGGTTCAAATGTCATTTGGTACTTTTTTTATGTCCGTTGAAGGTGCAGCAGTTGCGCTGCATTGAACTTTTTTTTTTGCATTTTTGAAATAGTAGGTTTCCCGCTGACCCCTCTGCGTTGGTAAACTAAAGCTGCTCCAGCGTATACAGGACCCCAGCACGATAATTTGTGCCATGTGTCTTGACAGTTGTGTATGCCAATCTTGGGGGTAGCCGACGCATCTGCGCACAAATAATTGTTTTCTCCATAACGAAGTATGTGTTTTCAGTCAGGCGACACCGTGTCGATAAATTGTAGCAGTGGTCGCTGAAGAGGTCAATTTACATACGATATGGCCTAGCGATTCTGTTTTTTGCACCGAGTGCAATGACTGTATATATTATACGCATATTACTAATTGCGTAGACGTGCAGTGTGTACTGCGCGAATAACTGAGTTAGAGCGAGAGTTGCACATCGGAGTGTGTATGAATTGCAGGGCATTTAATGTGAGGTATACATACAATATGTACTCTGTGTACGGGCGTATAGGATTGTAATCAGACAAGGGGCTTTACATATTACGGTCCCAGTTCTGCAAGCACAGGTTTGTTTGTTTTCCCCTAGCATGAAATTTGCGTCATTTTCTTCAAAGACTGCTATAGAATACTAGCGAACGCACTGCTCGTTAACAGAAACAATCTGCTTTTTATGCAAGTCCAATTTTTTTTCGCACTTCGATTATGAAAGTCCAATGCCTCTTGTACTTTGAGAACATGCGCATTAGGCTATCATATGCCCTCACGCTTCATCTATTCCTACATAGTTCAGCATTCAGCAGTAAAAAAAAACTTTCAATAAAACATTGATAGCAAGGGTGGTAACTGTCGGGCAGAAAGGAAGCACCCTTCATAATGGAGGATATTCCAATACTTCAACGTTATAAAGACCCCCAAACTGGAGCGGTCTCGGTTTGCTCACAGGCAAACATACTTTTATCCGAGAAGGGTGAAAAAAATCTTACACGGTGAACTTTCATGACCTTTGTGTGGCACGAACCGTATCGCAAGCGTGCGGCTGTGCTGAACATCGGCAAAAATCGATCTCCTTCTCAGTGAAAACGGCACTGGCGCCATCTTTCGCGGGAATGGCGAAATACGCCCGCAATCAACGCTGGTTACATCCGCTGCCGCTGTGAACCGCCCACTCGCCTTTCGCGTACGAAGCCACGCATGTTCTGCTTCTGTGACGAATGCTGCGCGCTTGTGGCAACAGATGGCGCCAACGCTGCACGTAACAAACTACAAATCGAAAACTCGCAGCTGTCTTGGGCCCAACTACTCGACGCAGATTTAAGCGTAACGTAAACACAACTTTAGC